TAGTAGGATGCCTCTGGCTCAGAGAGTCTCTCCACTTATTTCTTCTCTCTGAGCGACTTCCATACAATGGCAGTATTCCACAGGGTCAAGACAATGGAGCAACCGATCATTGGCCAAACATGCCACCGGTAAAGCGGGGGCCAAACCAGCGGAATAAAACAGGCTGCTCCACTAGGTATTGACGCCGTTATTCCCCATATTCATACTCGAATGACGACGGAGCACTGTCTTGCGTCCTGAGAGCTTATCACATCATTAAACCAGGCGAAGAACGTTGCCTGACAGGTGTACAGGGCACCGGCCCGGTAATAAGCACCAAAGACGGTAGCGGAGTCGAATTGAATGGAAGTCAACACAGGCGGTGACAGTCCCTGTCACATCTATGAAAGTAGCTGAGCCAAGTAGCGTTTCCCGCACAGGTAATCTGTCAGCGTGGCTCAGAACAGGGTCGATATGATTCCGACAGCGGGCACGCCGGTGGGGTAATTGTTCAGCTGCGGGATAGAATAAAAATTTCGTCGGGTGGTCTTTCGTGTGCAGTGCAAGAAGAGAGCTAGCTGAGAAGGACTAGTCTCCCCGGCGATGGCCTAGAGGGTGACAGGCGCCCACTAGTACTAGGTGGTAAAGAGACGTTGGAAGGCGCGGTCGATTGGAGCGTGCTCAGCATTGGGGGGTGGGAAGACGACACAATGCTAAGGCGAGTTCTGACGCGGTGAGATACGGGGCTCGCATGGTGACGGTCGTATCGGGGAACAAAAAGAGCCCACGCACAGCGATGGGGAGGGTAATTAGCCCGTCAATCTTGGGGGAAGTGGTTGGTGTTTTGAGCGGGGGATGAGCCACTCACGATGAGAGCCAACGCCATCCGGATAAAACCCGCGTGCCACTCAAAGACGAGTGGTTTTCTGTTTGGGAGAAACCGCCGAATATGGTACTAGCTAGTCCGGAGGCTGTGAATATACCGCTTCTTTTACCCAGTGCGTGCTCGGTGTACCACGACCCCAGGAAGTAGTGAGTCCCTGAGAAGTTGCTGGCCTCGGCAGTGCCCAGGAAGAAGCAGATGGCTATGATGCCCTGGGGGTTGCACCGTAGTGGTGATTATGGTGAGTCCACCCTAGATGGGATCATGGCGCTGTAACTTGTAACTTCTCTGCTTTGAATTCATTCGTGTTATACATACCAATCGAAAGGTGTGGTGGGAATATCTACAGTACATTATCACTAACATACAAAAGCAAATTCTAAAAGGAGCAGAATAAATTATTAATTTGATTTAGAAAAATTGGGGAGTATTTGTCTAATGAGAAGATATAATGGAACAAAACAGCTGGTAGTACAGTGATGGAAACTCGACAGCGGAGGTTGGGTCTAGCGTATCTACATTTCACAAATAAATTACTTCCTGGTCATACACGCCAAATTAGACGTTGCAGACAAGATAATAGCCCAAATTCAACACAATTTTTAATTTTGTATAAGCCTCTGCATTCGCAAAGAGATGAGGGAAAACCTACTCACAGCGGAAAACAAACCCCACATCGAGGCAAAAGAAACAACAGAAACGACACAACAAGAATAAACAAGACAACATCACATCTCCTAGCTGACTATCCATATCTTGGTTCCCCTATCATTGATTGTAAATGACCCTTAGGCTTGTCAGCTGGAGATCTTGGCTTCTCGGGGTAGAACTGGACTTAACTTACCACACTCCCTAAGCCTCCAGGAAAGCAAGATGTATAGTCCCTTCGCCTAGTGGGCCAGAACCACTACCAGTGTTGAACGGCGGGTCAAATTTGTAGAACCAATTGGCGTCTACCTCCGAAGGCTGGAATTTATTATCGTAATAGTCGGCCCAAGGAGAGCTCCAGTACAGCTTGCAGACCTCTGTATCTCCATCATACAATTTCAAGGACCCCTCGGTTCCTGACGATGCATTTTCTCTGCCACAAGTATAAATAGTGTAGCTTCCCTTCAGCCCAATTATCTGGCCCTCGATCTCACTTTTATTGATCTCCATATCTTTGTGGTTACGTTTATGAAATTTGCCCCAGTCTAAGATGACATTTTTTATAGTCAGGCGCTTGTCCGTAGTGGCATTGTGGATGGTAATTGCTGCCCACTGGGCATAGGCGAGGTTACTGATTTTATCTGATATGATGATAGTTGTAGGATGAAAAACGAATTGGAGTGGACTTGGAAAGCCCAGCACAGGAAAAAGATAGTTATAGTAAATTGACGCTTTCTTGCAAAGATGGCCTCAGCCTATAAATAAATGTTCTGTTTAACTGACTTGATGCTTTTCTGAGGTCAGCTCTCCTGTAACAGGCTCACTGCGGCAATTCTATGTCACATGGCCTTGAATGAGATTTCTGATATCCGGTCACAGTTACAGCAATCATAGCCCGTATAGTAATGGCTGGCTGTAACTGTAGACAAATCTACTAATTTAAGCCACTGCCAATAAGTGCCTAAGCGTACGCGATCTGGATCGCTATTCTCACTTCCTTTTAGCTAGGTATACTTGCTGGCCACTAGATAGGCAACATAAACTGCCTAGGTACCAGTATAGACAATAATTTAGTGTTTGCTTACATGTACTAGTTTTACGCGAATTTCTAAACCCAAAATATATATGAACTCTGCAAGCCAAGACTCCCAATCTGAACAGGAGATCCCGCCCTGATTTTCAGCTGCAGTTGTCAGCCGGTGTTTGATGGTTGTGGCTAGCTAAAATAGAATGACTTCTTTTAAGGATAATATATTTACTACACCAATTATATATTGCCAAGTTAATAGGTTCTTCTTGTCAAGTCAGTTTCACTAGGATTCAGCCAGGAACCACCGAGTCCTAGTGCGGTAAACAGTGCTGACCCGTTGCGGCGTTGCCACTCAGCAATTACCCGTCTAGTTGCTTTTACGTATGGGACAATGACATTGGACGAGAAGAATATCTTTGAACTATATATGCATAGATTAACATATCATGCGTCATCAAGAACGCTTATGTTTGGTTATATTATGAGCAACAGTTTCTATATACTTCATTTGGGTATAATAGGTTGCTGGACAACTGGCCGCCGTGCAAAAGCCAAAGGCTGTGCAGGCGTCATATAGTGGACACAGAATATTGCCGATTCAGGCACATCTACTGCGTTCAAAACAGTACCAATAAGCCTTCAAGCTTACGCGATCAGGTAGCCCTCGGTTGTCTATGTCCCCCGAAAAGCTTTTTGTCCTAAAGGTGGGATACTTGTTTCAGCTAGCCATGCCCACCAGAATACTATACAGCCAGCAAATCAAATAATTGCCACTTGCTTTTCTACGCTTACTATACACGTACCTCTAGATCTGATTTTCGTAATATGCAAACTCCGCACACCAAGGCTTTTTGCATCCAAGAGAGCAGAGAATAATGCACAGTATCTCATGCCATCCAATGTAAAAAGCTGCAGCAGGCGCAGGCTACCTAGTATCCTTATTCTGAATTGACTGATTACTGTAAGTGGTCCCGACGTATCCAAGAAAAGCTTTGTATCTATTAGCTATGGCGCTGTTTCCCAACAGAAGGAGTCCGGAGGCTCTAGTCGCGTATTAATGGATGTAGGCTAGCTGAGATCTTCGTCGCATCTTTAAGATTTTGCCAACCAAGTGCCTTTAAATTAGGCCCAGTTTTTACGAAGCCCCGCTAGTTTAAATCGAGGCCCTCACAGTTCCCTTGTTGTAACTAATAAGCTGTTGTTTTCACCTAATAAGAGTTAGGCGTAGAATATAGGTCATATTGTAGGTCATAGTATGTGCCGAGATGTACACAATGTTATATCTCGCGGGGAGAAATTCCTTCCGGCTTTACTATAACGTGATTTTATCTGCAGCGCCGCGCCGTCAATGTTCAAATATTCCTGCGGTTTACTAGATTCATGCACGGATGTTATTGTAAGGCAAGTAGTTCACATGCTGTGCACCAAAACAAGCACATACGCTAGGTAGCTCCAAGTGGAACATGCATGGTTGTCCATCTATCTCCTCCACAAGTACCCAGACAGCCTGTGGGTCTCGTGATATGCTTTTCCGCATGGAGTACAGTGCAGCATGAAAACTCCAGTGGCTTTGAATATCGCAGTGGCCAGACTAACAAATATCACCCAGGATAATTATTAGATAGGAGCCGGACTGTATGAGAGCTAAAACCAAGCATTATTGATGGCTAGAGCGTTCTATCCGGTAAGCCTGATTAGGAGACTCAGGAGAGGGAGCATAAATCTTAGCACTCAACCAGCAAGATGCACAGGTATATTATAGAAGATTGTTTTTGTACCATCTGCTATGTCTACTTTAAATAGTAAGCACCCCTTTTTTCCATTATAGTTTATTTTAATTACTATTTCAGTAAAAAAAATAAAATAAAATAAAAATTTTTGATCTTCGTCGCATCTTTCAACCCTGCCTCTGTGTTCATTTAGGTCGAATTCGAAGGGACGGTTATGGCTAGGCTGGTAGGTAAGGCAGTGTGGGAGAAATGGTGTAGGAGGTCACATACCTTTGTCATCCCACTATATCAGCTCTTGTTTTGTATGAAATGTATAGTAAAATAGGTATACTCGCCCCCAAGTTCGGGGGCAGAGGCAGAACTACGGTCGTAGGCATCCCATCTGATATATGCTCACGGCAGCAGCCAGACAGCTCGAAGTATCGGATGTGCTCGTCCTGTATGGATGATGAAGAAACTGACGTCACGTCGATGCGATGAGCCTTATATCACTCAACTTGCTGCTGGGGACCTTCTCAAACCTAATGAAGGCACACGACTCCCTTTCTCTCAAAGAGACACTGGATCTACCAGATCGGGGCACGAGAGGAAACGAAGAATAAGTTGATCGCCTCCGCTCTAGGAGAGAAGGGGAAAGAGAGAGCTTGCGCTCTCAGGACTTGTCTGCCTTTTGACTCTCCCGCACCTGCCAGCATCGAGGCTACCCTTTCTCTCCCTTTCTCCCTGCAAAATGGAATTTCTCTCGAGAGCTCTTCGCTGGGTCACCAATCGTGACCTTGCTCTCGACATGATGGGTCTGTCCACGATTTCCTTCCTATGATCCTGTGATCTTGGTCTCTGACGCGAAGGATTCCAGAGCCCGGTCCACTTCACTCCCCACGGGAAAGAACTGTCAAGGAACTCTCACGGATGCTCGACGAGAATCGAGTGATACACGTTAGAGGCACGCCCGCCTCAGGCAAAACAATCCTGGCCCGTCTCCTCTCACATCACTACCGTCAGCAGAAAATCGCCGTCATAGCATTTCACTCCTGGCGAACTACCCCACCCCAATACTACCAGGACAAGATTATTGACGAAGCCCGCCGGCGAGGCTACCGCCAGTTCGATGCACAGTTTGTCGAGGATGGGAACTACGTCCTCATCTTAGACGAAGGACAGATGACATACCGTGATGAAGCTCTTTGGATTGAACTCATCAAAAATCAGAGTGGGTCACACTTTGGACCCAGAATCTGTATTTTCACCTGTTATGGCAGTCCTACCGAAGGACCAGATTCGGAGTACAGCGCCGGAAGACTTCTGGCATATCTAGGTCCTCAACAAAGGGTGTCAATCACTCCGTCATCGATCCAATTCTCGCCGTGGGTTGCCCTCTTCTACAACCTCGAGGAATTCGAAGACGTGGTGGAACGATTCTGTCATCGGGAAAATCAGAACCCGCAGCTCAAGTTAGACGAGACAGCGCGAGAGTACATTTTCAATCTTACCCATGGCCACCCCGGTGCGGTGGATGGCATACTTCACATGCTGCTCCAGGTGACTCCCTCCTCCCTGAGCAACTACGAGCCCGCTTTCCTATATATATCATCACTGATTGTGGTAATAGGTCTACCATAGCGAGCTCAAGCATGAAGAAATCACGCTCAATGATAGCCACGTCATCAGCAGTCTGGACAACGAAGCACAAGCGTTCGCATACCTCATGAGCGCCCCGGTTTGCCGCTCGTTCCCTCGACCCAAGAGAGTCTCCCCCGAAGCCGCAGAGATCCTTCGGAAGGCGTTATCAGAGGGGAATGTTGATCGTGATCTCAACAATGAAGGGATCAAGCAATGCTACGAGAACGGCTGGCTGCACTCTGAGCCGGCGGATGCTTATGCCGAGCGTATTGTTTGTGTGTTCCCGACGCGGCTGCATGCAAAGTAGGTGGCCTGGTCTCATGGGAGTCATTTGATACTAATCAAATTAGATTCGTCGAACACTACTGGACTAGTTCGACTATGGATTTCCCTCTCGAAAGGTACCCGAACATCACGGCTTTAGCTCAAGCCGTATTAGCACGCTTTTCACCCAGGAATATTTCTAGCGGGATTCCACGTTTTGGTGACGCAGCCACTATCCGACCCTGGGAAGTGGCGTACCAAGATGAGTTCTATCGCGCTGCCCACGAGGTCCTCGGATATGCGATGAACGTCACGAGCGAGTGGTCCTCGGGAGGACAGGGACGCATTGATTCCCGATTCGCCCAGGTGGGATGGGGAATCGAATTACTACGAGAGGGTGACCGACTGAAAGAGCACTGCGAACGATTTGCCTCCACTGGGACTTACGCTCGCTGGATTGCAGATGGGTCGATCAAAGATTGGCTCATAATCGACTGCAGAACAACCCGGCCAGAACCTTACGGTGAGACCGAGAACTGTCCATGATAGGTCTTCCGTGCTGATTTGATGTTAGGCATCCCTGATCCCAAAGTCTGGCGTGCTGTTTTCGCCGCCGACTTTTCATCAGTCGAAATTCTCGACTGGTCCAACAAGGCTCTTTCCCCCCAAATCCCCCTAATGTCTTCCTAGAGCGACCCGAGACCTTCGGCCGCGTGGATCGAGGTACCGAACCTCACAAACCGATTACGATCAACGACTGATAATGGGCAAAGCGCGGCTGGGATCGAGATCAGGTGACTGAGGAAGCTTTTTGATAAGTATGGGAGAATGTATTGTTTGTCCAAAGTTCTCTTTAATGCTGCATAGAAAGATACATGGTGTCTCTTCACAAGTCTCTCTGTTGTCGTAGGTAAGAAATATTCTCTACAGGTGCTCCCATCCCAATGTTATCGCGTGGCAACTGTCGATGGCAATAATGCAATCTTGTTGATTTCCGAGCATGAAGAGAAAAGATTTGCGGTCGAAGAAAGCTTGTTCTACTCATTCCTGCCGTCTACGTCCTCTTCAAAATTTTAGAGACCTTTCCCAGGATTCATCAGTCGCCCTGTATACGTAGGGTCCTTTCATTGATTCACTCTCATCTCTTCTCGTCCTTTCTCCGCACCCAGCCAAAAATGATCCGCAATTGTGCGAACTTTTGCAGGCTCAGAGTTCGATAGCTTATGAGGTTGCTATTTTTAGCAAAATCCTGCCGCACGCCATCCATGCCGAGGTTGGAGAAGTCCGAGCTGGAGGAGTCTTTTGGCAGGGGGTTGAGGCTGAATAATAAGACTGATTTATTCCATCAAGCGGGTCTCTCTACGACGAGTCGATAAACCACTAAATTTCATAACCACTTGTTAGTAACTACTTCACCGCGGCCTAACTGTTTGAGGACTGACCTGATTCGTTGAGGCAATTGGACGTAAGCATCAAAGTGATAAGGGAAACAACAGCCAGTCATTCTTTTAGTCAAATACTACATCAATATTAGACCTTCCACACAACATGATTGGTATTCGCCTGCTCCTGCGATGATACCGCCAAAATATCATATCATATCTCATTTCACTGGATCTGTACTCTGCCCCTACGAGTCCACGTCATGCAGGAGTTGCTTCACTGCACGGTAGACTGAACTCAATTCTAGGGTCTAGAATAGTCGATATCTGTTAAAGGTCGATAATTCCCGTAAAGCTATCTTCAATACTTTGAGTATAGCTGCCTAAGGGTTTTCATAGTGACCTGCATTAACTGGCTACAAGGCCTGGGCGTGAAGGTGAAGGAAGCAAGGGAAAGAACGGACTGATTTACTAGGCACTATTCCCTAACGGCATTACCTGGCTCGCATTGTGGGAATCAAATCTTGTGAGTCACCATGTCAAAAGAGCATAGCACCATGAACCAAACTTGTCAGATCAGATATATAAGTCTCTCTTAACCAGCCTGCTCCTAGGACTTCAGCCCATCGCCTATCCCCCATCCATCTCTATCTCTAGATAACCTAGTTTCCCAAAATGAAGATTACCATTATCTTTGTCTCTCTCCTTACTTTCCTCTTTGCACACCTTGCTGGTGCCCTTCCAGCTCGGGATGTAGGATCTCCCAGCACTGTCAGTCAGATCATCGTTAGCCCACAACCTACACCCGCGAGTCAGATCATTGTTAGTCCACGACAGGTCATTGTCAGCCCGAAGCCTACACCTGCGAGCCAGATAATTGTGAGCCCACGGCAGATAATCGTCAGTCCACGACCCACACCGGTCAACCACAACCACAGGAGCATCATCGAGCCCACTCCAGGAGCGCATAGCATGAAGAAAATCCTCAATGGAGTAAGTTCATTCACACATGAAACACTCCTATCTCGCACATTGACAGTGAAAGATATGCAACAACCCGACTACGACCTGTATCGCATATGACGGACTAGACTCTTGGCAGGTCGAATGCCCAAGCACTGAACGGGTGAGTCGAGGATATTCGCAATTGCCCTTTTTTTGCATGTGCTCATTGGAGTAGTGCGTCCGGGGTACTTGCAAGATTGATACCGTTGGCGTCACTGCGAGCTGCTAATGAGAGGGGTCGCGGTTTAACGGATGGCTGCTGAGGGAAAGAGGATCTTTCGTATATCAAGAGGCGGAATGGAATGATTTCAGGGAGATTGATTTGTTATGGAGACAATGAATGAGATGGTTGGCTGCTGGATACATCTGATGTCTATTCGCTGGCCATAACTAATCAATTTTAGTGCCTGACTAGTAATCTACTTTCTGAGTATGAATGGTGAAGACAGACTTTTGGCAGGGGTGTCTCTTGTAGAGGCAATATGCTATGTTAGTCCCTGCTTTCTTGGTATAATCGGAATGAAGATATTTTGTTCTCAAGAAGGTATGCAATAGTCCCACCCAGAACTACAATATATGTCAGATGTTAGAAATGGAGTCTAGGGCACTAGGTGGAGCCACATCCGGTCTAGCGATGTGTATGGTTACCAAGTCTACATATTTTCCCTTCTTTGGATCCTTGTATGGCTTTATGAATACGTAGGACGGCGTGCTAACGAATAAACGAGCTTTCCGAAGCCATCGATAAGCCCAGTGGATCAATTAAGCAAGCTGAGGTGTAGCTCTACACTCAAATGCCATCGAAGTAATAGTACTGCACACTATGCGCCAAGGACGATCTCTGTAGGGATTCATATCCCGACACAGGCAGCACAATTGCCAGGCTTAATCCAATAGTGTCGCAGGATTGGCCCAACAAAGAAAGTGAATCGGAGGTATTAAAGAGCGGTCTGGTCCCATTGCTGCTAGCTAGATGTCGCCATCGATCTCTCGTTAACTTCTTTCTGTCAATTCTAACCACTTGTTAGTGTCTACAACCCTCAGATTATGGATCGGAAGATCGAGAAGCTCTGCAAGGAATGCCAACAGGTGTTCCATTGCGCCAAATGGACTGTTGCTCACCATAAGAACTTTGCAGCCGTTACTGCTGCTGCGGAAAGTGGGTGTCGTATATGCCGTGGTTTGCAGTACGCTGTCAAAAGCCGTAAGAGTACTAAGGACCTACTAAGCGCATCCTGGAGCTATCGCGTTTATGCAGAAGTCACACCAATACAAATATGTATTGACTTGGACTTTCAGGAAAGGTGTGAAGATGGCCTGGAAGATCTAGAAGAGCCAGTTTGCTACTCGGTGCTGATAGCACCAAGTTCGAATATTACCATCAATCCATCGACCGGAGACAGGACTCTGACTCTTCCGCTCGATGAAGCTACTGCGGCGGCTAAAGAATGGTTAAGAGACTGCCTTGAGGGACATGAAAGATGCCCGAGAAATACCCAGCCCAGTTCTTATCCTGAGTATTTGCTCGAGCTGGACGGAGAGACGGTGCAGATTATCTCGCCCGCAGAAGACAAGATAGCGGGTCCTTATGCAGCAGTAAGCTACAGCTGCCGGCGTTGAAGCGCGGACTTGATCGAACCCTTTACCTCCGACTTACCAGGACTCAAGACCGACATTGCCCGTTCCGGGCTTCCCCACGCCGACTTACCATTGGAAGTTGTAACGTCAGGTTTGATAGGAGATGGTGTTTACACGGCTATATCATAGGAGTACTTTAAGAACTCGCTCTACCACCAGCCTCTCGGATGGCGCGCCGAAAGTATCCAAGAGCGGTTTTGGTCGCCACGTGTTCTTAGCTTGGGCCTTGGAGAGCTGTTTTGGGAGTGCAGCCAGCTTCCTCACGCCAGCAAGTCCCTCCCACATGGCCTTTCTAGCCTTAAAAACCGGCTCGGTCTTAAGAAATAGGCTGTCCCCGAAACTTCTGGCCAAGGAGAAATTGAAGAGTTCTGGTGCAACACCTGGAAGAGTATAGCGACTGCGAGCTCGCCCATCCTGTGAAAGATAAACTGGCGGGTGTGCAAAGTATTGCCGATTAGATAGCTATCTTAACGGATGGCGTGTATACTTCGGGCCATTTCTGGAAGACATTGCCTTGGAGTCTGAACTGGAAAGTGGAGCCTGGACTTGCTGCAACACAGTCGCGGGCCAGGCAATCACGGAGGATGGTGCGGAACCATGCTGGTGAAACCCAGGACAAGGTGCCTTCTTGGAGTTGGGCATCAATGGATGGTTCACTGTATTATTCCCGACTTGGCCGGTGTGTTTCTTTGGCCGAGATTGAAGCTTACACTTCTATTGCGGCTATGTCTGACTACACGTACACAGAAATTGGCCCTTCAAGCCTTAAGATCAAGGCATACCCTCTAGAGGTGGAGTGGCTTGATGGGAAAGCCATCATTGGACACCATGCTTGGGCTGGCATCAAGCAATTCCACTGGTTTAAAGTTAAATTGGATGATGAGCATGTAGCTCCAACGAATGGCTGCCGACTTTTGCTTGCTGCATTAATGGAGGACGGCTGGTTAACAACGTGGGAAGGCTTGATTCTGCAGGAGGTAAATGCTGGCGGAGAAACTTATTACCAGAGAATGGGCCATTCCAAATTCAGCAGAATTCCAGCAGAAGAGCCCAAGGAAGAATGGCAGGATGACTATAAGAGTATCTTCGGGCAGCGAAAGGTCATAGCGCTGGTATAATCCCGTTGTATGGGGAAGAAATGCCGCTCTTTGTGTCCACCATATTGTCTGGCTTTCAGAAGAGTAACTAAAATTGAACGGCCCATACCCAGGCAGAGAAAGGCCTCGATACTAAAATACAATCAAGCTTGATAACGGAAAATACAAAGGTATCAATATGTTCAGCGCATACCTCATCGCAAGCCAAGTGGCCCTTCGTCGGAAAAAGCAACTTCCTACTAATGGAGGTTTCAATTTGGATAGAATCCTTTTGCCCTTCGTGCTTAACGTAGACTATTTCAGAGGAAGCAAGATGGAGGTAGATCTCCGTGCTATTTCGAACTATAGCAGGGGTATAGGAAAAGGAGGGCTTAGCCTTACGCCATTATTAGTGGGTTCCGTCCTCAATGTCTTCCCCACAGACCCAAGTTCGTGTTGTACTGGACAAGTATGAAGGTGATGTTGGCCTTCTAGTCCGTACCCCATTCTATAGAGCCCCGTGGGTTTCCATGGGCGTCGCTCCGTAGCCCCAGATCTCAATTGATTATCAAGGAAACCGATGCCGGTTGGAAGGCAGGACAGTCCTGCGCAGATTGCAGCTGGGGAGTATCCCGTGGGCATGTTCGTGGGAATACATACGCGGTGATGGGCCGAGACAATTGCCAAGGGACATGTCCACGGGATTATCCATGGGAGCGTTGGCTACTATTACTAGTAGGTATTGGAGAAGCCTCAGTCATAGGAGAGTCCTCCAACCCTTGGAACAATGTTAATATTCCGCGTTTTCGGCTTTTTGACCTCAAGAAGAGCAGAGGCCAGTGGAACGAACCTTGTCGAGAGGACAACATGTGGTGTTACCGGTCTTGCACGAGATACTTACTATGCTAATATAGCCATATTATAGTTATTAACTTGGTTGTGATAAACAGGGTAGATGGTGATGTGGCGTTTGCTGGAGAGGAGGGCATAAGACACGATGAGATTCCCGAAAACCCTAGAGTCAATTCACTAACAGCATATAGCAAACTACAGTTATCGACATGCGAATCTATTTACTTCGCGTACCTATTCATTGGGTTTAGCTCCAGATCGGTCGACATACCTGTCCGTTTGATGTGAATGTTGTGTTGTTCATCCCTTCGTTCATAGTGGGGCGTCGCGTCTGTACCTTTTCCCCCTTCCCTCACTTGTCCGTCAATCTATCTTCATTTTCATTCTTGATTATTCCCCCACTATACCCTTCCAAAATAGTCATGGACAGTCTTCAGCTTGTTCGTCAGGCAAATGCCGCCGTCCGACAGCGACGTCGTAAGCTGGTGGCTGTGTTTGTGGGAGGAACCAGTGGCATTGGGGAAGCAACGGCGAAACAACTCGCAAAGACAATCGAGTCGCCAACACTCTACATCGTCGGTCGTAATGCGTCGTCTGGCTCCCGGATACTTAAGGACCTTCAAGCACTGAATCCCCGCGGAAACTTCGAGTTTATCAAGTCCGACGTATCCCTACTTCGCGAGGTGGACACAACATGTCAAGCAATCAAACAGAAAGAGAGCGTAGTGAACCTACTATTTATGACTCCAGGTCATCTGGCAACTCGAAAGAATGGTAGGAATAGCCTCCGCTGCGTCTCTGTTCTCCAGCTAATGGGTGGTAGACACGGTGGAAGGACTCGACAACAACCACGTGCTCCGCTACTATGCGCGAATGCGATTTATCCATAACCTCCTCCCTGAACTAAAAGCCGCCGAGATTCCTGCCAGAGTAATCAGTGTATTGGCAGCTGGCAAGGAAGGCGAGATCGATGAGAGCAACTTCGACCTACAGGTGTCTTTCTCCTTCGGCACGGCGGCAACATACGGCGCGACCATGAACTCGTTGGCGATGGAATACCTGGCAACTCAACACCCGTCGGTCAGTTTTATCCACGTCTTTCCGGGGGTTGTGCGAACACCATTGATGAAGGCTAGCTTTGGATATCTCCTTGGCTCGGTAATTGGGCTTGTGACCAGGCTTATGGCAATCTCGGAGCAGGAGAGCGGCGAGCGCAATGTATTTATCGCTACTTCTCCCGCTTACCCACCTGTTGCGCGTGCTGCGAAGTCGATAGATGGTGTTAACGTTGCAATCTCTTCGATGGGCAAAGTCGGTGGTGGATCATATCTGCTCAACTATGATGGAAAGGACGTGACAAATCAGAAGTTAATGGAGGGCTACCGCGACAAGGGCTATTCCACGAAGCTATGGGATCATACGCTGGATGTATTTGAACGGGTCCTTGGATCAAATGCTTAAATGCTTAAACATGCTGGTCAACCTTGTGATAAGGAAAGGTGCTATTGCTTCTGATTGTGGCATAGACATCGACTTGTGACTGCAATGTACTTGAGTGGGTGAACGAGACTTATGCCAGCTGCAGTCAAATAATGACAACCAACGAGATACACTTGAAAGCAATTAAGAAGTATCCTAATGGCCCAGGAAAACTTCGTTCCTTTCATAGCTCCACGCGGATCAGGGTTCGTCGGACCAAATGCACGTGCCTTGCCCGATACGGAAATATTGGCCGATGAGATAGAAAGACATAATTGCTCAATGGTAACATTCTAGTTTGCCCATTTATTTTCAATGACTGCCGGGCAGCTTTCGAGAAGCTGTAAGTAATAGCGCGTAAGATTTCAGAAGCAAAGAGCAAAAACCCATTCATATATCTCTCCAATTTTGCCCATTCTAGTGGGTCATGCAGGTATATAATTTCGCGGGACGACCGACTTTTAGCATCTGTTCAGCGGAATAACAAGCCTTCTACCTAGACACCAGAGAAGATACAGGGAACTCTATGACTACGAAAAGACAACAGTTTGTTTATTCACTCATCGTCCACATATCGACCCAGAAACATTACATAACGCCATACCGAATTAACACACATAAGCATCATTTAATCCACTCCCCAACCCATTTCTGGATCCATTCTACCTTCACCGCATCTACTCCCCGCAGCTTTGCGCTGAACTGCGCCGTGAGCTGGGCATCCAGCACGTTCGTCGTCGTTAGCTCGGACATAATCTCCTCAAAGAAGCCAAGCAACTTGGCAGCCGGGTTCTTAGCAAGAAGTGCCTGCAGCTCACCATCCCCCAGCACCGTATTGCCAGCACCGGCTGCCTCGACATCCTGCCGGACACGCTGTACCCATACCCGGAAGGGAATGGTCTCTACTGTCTTCCCGGAGTGCTTGGAGAGGGCATCTGCAAGAATTGGGCGGATGTCTATCTAGTTCGAAGGGTGCAAGTTGACAAGGTGATACACGTTAGCAGGTACACTAGCCTTCCCATTATCGTCCAGGGCAAGGTCCACCAGCACCTCTTCCAGGAGGTCGATCGGCACCTAGTCGATGCCATCCATGGCCTGTCCGAGTGTATCGGGGAGAGCGCCTACGTGATGGGAACTGCTTAGGGCTAGACTCGGGAATCATTCTGCCTTGTTCTATAGCCCTGGGGAGCGCGCAGGGCCTGCGATTTGGCCCACGCGGGCGAAGGAGGCATTTGCTCTATTATGACGGGCAGCTTGATTTAGGAGGTGTTCAGCGAGGTACTTGCTATTGGCATATCCGTTTGGCCCGGGTGTTGTGGGTGTGATTACTTCCTCGGGTGTTAGGTTCAACCTGGTCAACGAGTTTCTTAAAAAGCTCGCCCCGCTGTTGTAATTGGGCTTCTCGAGTAGCCTCGCCAGACGCTACTTCATGTTGCTGCAAATGTAATACCGCCTGTGTGAGCTCAGACAGAGAGGGATAGAGTTAGATCAGATTTAGCGAGAACGTAGGGAAGTCGAGGCCCCGCTTGAATGTGCTTGTTCGAAAAGGAATCAAACTAATCTGACACTGTCACTTTAGAAGGCTAAGAGGACCTGAAATTCAGTGTCTCGTCCTGTTTCCATCAATGAACGCAGCATGATAAAAAACCAGCAAATGTTCGCTGACACAGCTTCATCTTCAGAAGCCGCAAAATCAAAAAGGCTTAAAGTGCTACAAGATTTCTCAGATGGACCCCTTCTCCCTACCACTAGATTCTTTCTGGTCTTTTATATGTTGCGCTACGAAGGTTACCTGACAAACATTACGTACAAAGGCTTGTGAGCCCTCCCTGCGTGGTGGAATGATTGAAGCGTATTGTTTGTGGAAGAGAGCTGAGATCATAATCCTTCGAGGCCGCCCTCTACACTGGCGGTGATGCTGCAATCGCTGCTACTTTGAAGCCATGTCGTTCTGGATGGTTGCGCACAGATGTACTTTACGGCCCCGGTATTGGAGGCGCATCATTTTCTCAATACCATAGGGAAAAGCTTGGATGGCATATTGCTTCATCGGATGGTCAAGAGGGAACTAAACAGGAAGCGATGTTAATTCCAGTCCCAGGGAAGCCTTCCTAGGCATTGCTTCTTAAACCTAGATTTCTTTTCTAATCCTGGCACCACGTTGATCTGGTCTGACAAGAGTCTCCTGTAGCGCTGTATCGACAGTTTTCCCCATAATCCTATTGTCAAGATTGGCCTTAAGAATAGCACAAATGTTTTCCTCTGTGACTTTGAATGATGGATATTTCATAGCATCAGTGTCTATGTTTCCTCCTCGTAGTCACGTAAAAATTCATAATGCATAGTGTGTGGTGAGTATCAAACCAGAGACATTTCCCTTTCAACTGCCCCATGAAGATGGCTCTGCTTGCCCGCTATAGGTGATTTCATATGACCCTTCCCTACCCTCTCAAATGCACCTAAGACGGTCTCCGAGATCTTAACCAACAGAAAGTCAATTCCTAATTCATGACCCAAGATTTCCACAGCATAAACATGACTACCTGCGAGGGCCTTTTTCTCATCAGGAACATCGATATGGGCAATACTGGTTCGGATCCGACCTAATGTAACAAGAGTGCTATCCAGCTCTACTGAGATAATTTTAGTTTCCATCACCCAAGCTTGCAAGCGAATAAGTCCATTCTTGACAGATCCCGTTGGATTTTTCGTAGCAGGGACGACTTGAAGTTCGAGGATCTTAGCTTCTCGGCAGCCAGAACTAGAATACGGAGGAAGTGGCAGCCCCAGTTCTTCACCATGTAAGCTAGTCCAGCAAAAACTAGGAGCTGTGGAGAGTTGAGCTCTAGACACTTTTCCACGAACGCCATACCCCCGTAGCAGACCCTTAGGGAGGTCATTGGACCATAAGCCCGCAATGTAATCCCCAAATATTCGCTTTGGACTTCGCTGAGCAAGGCCAGACAATGCAGGAAGCCTGTCTGTCTCCACGGTTAAGTTGGCTGCGGAATAAAGACGTACCACCGCTCGCCACTTGCCCCAGGCGCTGTAAACATCTGTGCCAATATTGCTACCTGGGGGACTCTCTGTAATGTGATTATCCCAAATCAGGCGCTTTTCGGGCGCTTTGAGCTTATAATGGTACATTGTCTCAAGCTGAATCCCCAGAGTTCCACATTCACATTTGCTCTCCATGGAGCACTCAAAGATGACTTCTCCCTGCCGGAAATGAAGGACTCTAGGAGAAAGAAGTCGCTCTTGGATGCACCAAGCTCTGCTCATCAACCCTTGTGGCTTACTGATATCATGGCTATCCGACCATTTAATGAACGTCGAAAATGGGGTACCCGTGGCATCATTGAGTACGATTTCGGAGAAACCTCGTCTATTAAGACAACAACCATCGTCTGTGGTGCCGTTCGGGTCGAAATGTGCCGCGATGGTGACATATGCGCCTTCATATATAGAGCCCATCGCCGTGGCCTGGTCAATCCAATCGCCCGGATCATCTTGTACGATACAGATAGAGTCAACCCATAGGTAGGGAACATCTAGCCATTTGCAAATATCCACGGCATCTCGAAATGTTTTCGAAAGGCTCATATAAGAAATATACGCCTTTGTCTCCTCCAGGTTGCGTTTGGTTGTCTGCACCGTGGCTGCTTCGGAGAATTCCCAGCAATGACTTAATGCCACGTATTGACAAGCTGGGTGAACATCCTCGACGAGGCACATGCCCCGGTTTCCAAGGCCAACATCAACAAGGCGCTTAGGCATAAACCGAGGGCGCTGGCAACTGGGGTGATTTTCTCTACAATTTTGAATCCAATAGTTGAAGCATGCTTGACGTTCATCCGTGAGGGCAAACTTTGGGCTAGACGGTGCCTTGAATAATACAGGCCAAGGGTTCGGTGTGCCTGGACATGATTAGAAGGGCAGACAAGAAGAGCAGAAGCGATTCACCTGCAACAGCGAAAATATGGAATTTGGAATATACATCGCGAGACTTGGTATTTTCGCGAGGACTGTATATAGTGACTTGGGCTGCTCGGCCAGAGACGAGTTCGACTTGCAAATACATGTCGTCACGATTGGCCCTATGATTCTCATCAGATTCCCGAAATTCAAGGAAGCACTTGTAGAGGAGCAAGCAGCTACTACATCCTTTTGATGCTTGCTCTTGTATTTCTCTGATTTTCGAGACGATCAGAAAGCCGTTCGGACTGTTGATGTGCCTTGGGACCTGTGCGTCGACACGCTGCTTTTGTCCAATGGTGGCTTCCGGTTCGAAATCATGGCAATTTGGGCAACCAGGTTTTCTCATAATCTGCTATATAAAGGAGGCGGGGGGTTCAAATAAATTATCGGATAGGTTTACGGCCAGTATATGCGATGCTTTAGTGATTTTGTTGGACGACGAGGCTAAACATGTGGAGCTGAGAAGAACATAAGGGTTGCCACGATGAGGTGGAGCAGCTCCACATAAAGCCTACTGTGGTTGAGCCTGGTAATTTTGTTAGTACGGTCCACCGCACTAATTTAGGCCCTAGGAATTCTGCCGTTTTAAAAAGCATACATAAGAATCGCTCCATAAAATGCCTAGATAACGCCCATTAAAATATTTAGAAATTGCTCATTAAAATGCTAAAAGAAACACCTATTCTAATACTTAGTATGGCCACCTTTAGCCTCTATAATAGCCTGGCAGCGGGCCTGCATAGATTTAATTAGACCCTGAAAGACTGATTCAGGGACTGCCTTCTATGCCTCTAATATAATCTGCCTTAGCCTAGGATAAGGCAGATTATTATCTGTAGGGTAGTGAGATTTAATCTAATCTTTTATCCAGTTCCATACTTTCTCTATAGAGTTAAGATTAGGTAAGTAGAGTGGCCAAAAAATAAGAGATATATCCTGTTTCTATAAATCTTATCTAGTTTCACTAGAATTATACTCCGGTGCCCTATCTTATATAAGAAAAAGACTGATATCTCAGTTTTCTGTCTTTTTCAGATATAGATAATTGACTATTATAGAGATAGTATGTTTATGATAGCTTTGAGTATTAATAGAACCCTAAGCTTTCTCCCAAAATAGACCAGGACCTTTAGTATTACTATAAAAAGAATCCTAAAATATCTAGCCATAACAATGCGGTTATAAGGTTTGAAGACAATCTTTATAAAGAATCTTAGCTGTTGAACTGGAGGTCACATGATCCAACATCATGTGATGATATATCATGCAATCCCAATCATTCTACATATGATCTATGCATTTCTATACATTTCTATCTCATTCTTGAGATGCTATTTTTATCATGTGTTGCAGGCCTAAGGTCTAAATCTATTCAACATAAATAGGCCTATATTTCCATCTATTCTACAGACTAGATTGATTTAGATTAATTCAGATTAATCAGATTGAAGCAGTTTAGTTAATCTTATTCTATCATTCTATATAGTCATGTCTATCTAGTCAATTTATTCTATAAGTTTTACCCGATATCTATCTATCTATTATCTATCTTATCTCTTGATCAATTCCCCTGATCACATGCCTAAGGATATCTAGGTTATC